GGAGTGGTTGATTGTCCTAAGTGGGAAACCCCTGAATTTAGGTCTGCAATGGGGCAAGGGGGAAATTCCGGGCTTAGGTCTGAAAATGTCTGAAATTCCGGGTTTAGGTCTGCCGGGTAACTCGTCAAATCCGGAACCCCTCACTCGCTCACTTGAAGCGTCGTGACGCTCGTTCCCAAGGCCTGGGCGCGAAGACTTGCGTCGGTTTGAGCTGAGGAACTGGGCGGCCCGTTTTCAGATCTGCTCACAGCGACTAAGCTTCAGTGGGTTAAATGGAAACCACCACTAAGCACTAGGCTAAACAGCTAAGGAACCGGATGGCTGGGAGCCACCAAGAGAAGGCAGTTGCAATTGCTCTGGCACTGCAGCTTGATAAGTGGAATGTAATGCCTGCACACAAGCCTGTCTGCCGCTGGAGGTTTGCCATACGGCGCGAGTCTGCCTCAAGCCATCTGCGTTTACCACCCAAGTTGAGCAAGCCGACTTGTATCTCAGAGCCTCCGAGTTTCTTGCTGAAGTGCCAAGTAGCCCTAAGCAGCTGAGATCTCTGCTTCGGGCTTCTGAAGCTAAAGGGGAAACATGCCGAGGCGCTGATCCCATCGGGTACCCATATTGAAGTCAACTGCCTCGCACTGTCTTGGTCGCAAATCTCCTGCGAGCCAAAAGGAGTTCAGGCGCCAGCGCGCAGCCAAACTTCCATGGACTCATGGACGCTTGACTCGACTCCCAGGAACAGTCGTGCGCTTTCAAAAAAGCCTTCCCGTCCTGGTGCCGGACCTTCACGTGCCAACAGGGGCCGCGCGGCACGCAGCAGACGATAGACGCTGCGAAGTCCTACGCCGCGGCAATTGCATTCGACGGTTGCTCAAGATTCCCTTCGGCCCCAAACTGACCGCGGGCAGCTTGTCCCGTTTATCGGCGAACGTCGTCTTTTTTTGTGGTTTCTCCAAGGGTGCTCCCATGGGAAAGGAGCTTTTGATCGACCCCTATATGGCTGTCATTGCTGTCACTATGTCACTGTAGTCACTAGGCTCACCCCGCAGTCCAAAGCTGAGCTTCGGTTAGCTTCGTGGGTTGCTTCCCTTTAACCCACCACTCAAGGGGTGACTTTGATCATGGTAAAATCATTTAAACAATGAGGCCAGAAACACGCAGTCGATGCCTCCCGAACGGTTCGGAGTCCTGCAAAGGGATCGCCCTGATTCCTGGCGATCAGCTCTGCAACTTCTCCCCACATAGCTGGCAGCACCTGGCACAGGCCAGACTCAAGGCCTCGAACCATGCATCCTTTGAGTGCGAAGCGCTTGCGTTTTTTTTCTTCCCTCTGCACTTTCCACCCGGCAGGAACATAAACAACCTGCCTTGCCTGGAAGCTGGCTGGCACATGGTCCCAGACTCCACAGCAGAGAAAAATAAACTGACAACTGCTCAGGCAGCACTAAAGCAATTGTGCACTCTGAAGCTTCTCTTCGGAATCATCTCTTTGTCACACCGGCATTGCCACTATTATCTGCCAAAATGGAGGAGCAAAAGAAACCAAGAAGACAACAGCATGCACTCCCACCAATTGACATGGAAACTGACCGGGGGTCATTTTAGAAAGAAAATTGTCCAAACCAGGAACCCCCGAACGTCCCATGTAAAAAGGGTACCCTGATTTTTGCGCTTAGGGACTGTCAAACTCCACTGAGCTTTCCTTGCTGGTGCAACAAGTAGGGAATGGACAAATGAACCCAGGCTGTGGTCCAATTAAAGGAAACCACCAGTTGGACGTGTTTTTTTTTGTTTTCTCCCCGGGGTCATTCCAACTCATTCCAACAGCATCTCTCGCAGAACAATCGCACGTGTATGCACGTGTCGCGCGCGTCAGTCAGGGCGTCAGTCAGGGCAGCGTGGCTTTCTTGGTCCACTTCCCCGCGAAGTTGCCCTCCGGAAAGCGGATGCCGTTGCCTTCCCAGGTGGCCTCAATGCCGAAAGCCAAACCGATTGCTCTCAGTGAGCGGGGTGAGAGAGAGAGAGAGAGATATATATATATATACACGTATATACACATGTGTATATATTAAATATACATACACACATATACACATACACACATACATATCAGCTTCCCCTTGCTTGGTGGTTTGGAGCCCTGTGGTTTGGTGGTTAAGGAGAGGTATCCAAACCACCAACTATAAGGGTTACCTGAATTGCGGGGGCTTCGCAGCAACCAACCGACCAACCACACAAAAACCAACCAACCAACCAACCAACCAACCAACCAACCAACCAACCAACCAACCAACCAACCAACCAACCAACCAACCAACCAACCAACCAACCAACCAACCAACCAACCAACCAACCAACCAACCAACCAACCAACCAACCAACCAACCAACCAACCAACCAACCACCAAAACCAAACCAAACCAAACCAAACCAACCAACCAACCAACCAACCAACCAACCAACCAACCAACCAACCAACCAACCAACCAACCAACCAAACCAACCAAACCAACCAAACCAAACCAAACCAAACCAAACCAAACCAACCAACCAACCAACCAACCAACCAACCAACCAACCAACCAACCAACCAACCAACCAACCAGGGCAGACCCGCCGCTTGCAGCCACGGATTCACGTAGCGGCTTGGGCCCAGGCGATCAGACGCTCAGGTCCGCCGCGACCACGAAAATCCAGGATCAGCTCGTTGTATGCAGAGAGGCTGAGCTTGCCAGTGACGCTCCAAGGGCGCTCCTCCAAACTTTGCTGTAAGAACTCCCCCCGCAAAAAGCGAGTTTCACTTTCTGGTGGGTATACGTGAAATCGGGCAAATTCAACCAAAAAAGCCAAAGTATCACGATCCAGTAGCCTTTGTTGAAAGTTGGCGGAAGTGGACTCGACTTTGGGCGCGAATTCCCCTCGTTTCTCTGGAGGCAGGAAGTTGCATAAAAATGCCACGCTTCCCCCAGGCAAAGTCGAGCAAAGGTCCAAGTACTTTACCCATCGACAGTGCACCCCAAGCGCAAAGCGCTTGCTAGCCCGCACGGCCCAGCCAAATACCCAGAAACTCCTACCCACCGTCGCCAGTGTTGCGCTCCAGGCGGTTTGAGTGCGCAGGGGTGAGTTTCATTCTTGTTTTCTTCCCCACGGTGCATGCGGGCCTGGCACATTCAAACGGAACATGCACGGAATCAAATGATGAATCACTGTGAGGAGCTCCTTACGTCATTTCGTGCAGGTTCACACCTCTCTCGACCCAAAACGACCGGTTTAGGCGGATTGTGGAACACCCGGGGCCGAGGGGGTTCAAAAAAGCCAGGAAGTGGCAAAGGACCCGGCTCGCTGTTTGCCCTCCCATCAAGCAGGGGAGATACATCCCCAGATGTGTCGCGAAATCGGACAGCATCGAACACGGGGACCAGCAGTACAACAATCACTCCCTCTGCACCCCCAGCATCGCCAGGATGCGCCCATTTCAAGTGGAGGATGTGTTCTACATCTGGCATATGTCTCTTCCGCATCTGTTGCAAGCTTTCTCAAATACACATATCTCCATGGTGCATCGTGGTGCGTCTCCTTCTCGCCATTTCCGCAGCCAGGCTTGCCCTCCACAGCATCAATGTTGACCTCCCGCCAAGCGCTGCATCGGGAACTGAGTGGCAACGAGATGGATGCGCAGGGCTATGACAACAGCAGCCTCGACCTCACATGTGCCTCCATTCGCATGGCCGGCCAAGCCTTCATGCCATCCACGCGAACTTCCCGCTTGCATCCCGGATGTTCAGGATCTTCATAGAGGCCTGGCAGGTGAATTGCGCTGAGAGCAGCCGCTCGCTCGCGCCAACTTCTCAGCTGGGCCTTGCCAGTCTGGTAGCTGCGCATTGCCCGCCTCTGGCCTGTCGAGACACTTTCTCGCTCAAAGGACATGAAACGGGTTCTTTGTCCTGCATGAGAAAAGGCGATGATCGGCAATCGCAGACTTGCACATTTGACGGCAAAAATGGCTCCACACCCACGTCTCCAACAGCATCACAAAAATCCGCCGTTTTGCGGACCATGGGCAAATGAGTCATAATTAAAACCTGGTACAAAAATGGTCGACCCAGAACCATGTAAAGAATTAAGAAGGCGGCCGCAGCTATTTACGGCTGGGATTCTCCCTTACTACCCTCCAATTACCCGAGTTTTGATTGTGGCTCAAATGTGGGCCCAACAAGTCGAAGGAAGCTCAGCTTCCGGCAGCATCAGCGCAACAGCCGGCGCCAGTGCTCCCAACGCCGCTCGCCGGCCAGCCGGAGGCATCGCGAAACCAGTGCTCCTCCACACGCAACTGCCACAAAAATCAGCCTGCGTGACAACTGGGCTGTTCAAAACGCCTCGGCTCGGCCAAGCCCCGAGTTTCCATACTCCCGAAAAAGGGAAGCCACTACACTTGGTTTCTGTTGACCCCCCTGCAAAAGTTCAACTTTTTGGGGGTTTAGTGGAAAACGCCTTGACTTCCCCAAAACTTAAAATCTGAAGATCCAACCCAATAGCAGTCAAGTACAAAAGGGACGAGTTCCTTACGTAACCAAAGGTAAACATTAAGGATTGCCTTTGAAACAGCTCCCGTGCAGGCTCCTGTACAGCGCCATCAATGGCAGCAAAGCCTCGTGAGAAAACCCCCGCGCAAATTCAAGAACTCAAACGAGCATAATCAAAAACCGGTATTAAAATAGTGTGCCCAGAACCATTGAAAGAAATAGAAATGCGGATATGTGCACCCATTTCTGCTTTGGATTCTCCCTTAGCCTTCATCTACCCGAGCTTCGTGGCTCAAACGCATCTCTGCAAGCAAGCAGCGATCCAGCGTCGCCTCGTCCATGTTCCCATGGCTGCCAGTCTGCCAGCACTTTGGCGTGGCGGCAAGCGGCTAGCGTTGGCTTCCTGTATCAACTTGCAATACCCCAACTGCAAAAAGCCTTTACAGGGCGGTGCGCTTTCCACTCCACCACAAGCTGTCAAGGAAGCCATTTCATATGCCGACCTGGTTTATCCTTGCCTTTCCTGCACGCCTCAGTCTGGAATCCAAGGGCATAGGCTGCTGGTCTACCCAATTTCTGATTCCATCCCGCGAGCGCGCCACTGGCATGCATCCAAGAGCGTTGAAAGCTGAAGCCAAGCAACAGTGAAACTTGTTTGCCTGTTGCAATCGACACCTCTGCTCGTCTCTTGACTCGCCCTGCCTGCACCACAGCCACGCGGCAGGATAGATGCTCCTGGTGCAGGTGGGGTTAAAGCTCAAACCTTACTTGGTAAGAAAACCAGAAGGTACTACACAAGTCATCAAAACATTGCATCCAACTCACCCTATCGTTTTGAGGCTATGACTATGATGACAATACTCGTTGTTTCGGACCAGGGCCCAATGATTCTGGGCTATCCTCAGGTCCCCTGCTACTTTCAGTGGGTTTCATGGCAACCCAACCGCTTAAACCTGCCAAAAACAACTTAAAAGCCTCAGGAACCGGACTGCTGAGAACCGCCAATTGACAGGTCCCAGCTCCAGAGATCGCTCCTCCACCAAGACTTTGCTTAGCAAGCCCGCCACGCTGGCCGCTTCACCACTCCAACCTCGTTGCACGTGGCCGGAGTGGAGGTGCACGCCACTCATTGCAGGCAGCTCGGAGTGCAATTCATAATTTGGCAGGCGCCATTTTCCGCTTTTTGCGGCCTGTGCTGGGCACAGGCATGCACCTCCGCCGAAAATTGGAGTGAGACAAAGCGGAGCCGCTGGCGCGAAACATCATAAGCTGGAAGGTCCGTTCGGTGTGACTTTGCACGGGCAACGATGCTCAAAAGCCACGGCGCTGGGGTGGCATCAGCAACGCGGTCAGCGTGTCCTGATCTGAGTTGCTGAGAGCCTGGGGCGGCCCGGGCGTCTCACGGCAATGGCAAGCGACCCCAAAACCGAAAGCGATGAGGGACTGAGCTCACGGCATAGAGAATGCCAAAGAAGGCAACAGTAATGACCTGCAACCAAGGACCAGGCACTATAAATGGGTCTGTCTTTTGTGAGGGTGTTTGTGTGGGTGGTTTTAAAGGGAAACCAGGAGGAAATATTTTGGGCGCTCCTATTGGAAGGCATGCATCAACCATATGCAAAGATCTGGGCAAAGACCCGACGGCTTTCAGCTGCTGGGGAAAACGACGCGGGGCAATTGAGGCTGCTGCTCCTTGGATGAGACGTGCATTGCCCATGAACATCAAGCCGCTGTTGTCGCGGATCTCGCTCTTCACCCGCCTAAGGCAAACAGTGGCTGGGCTGGCATCGGTGGTCTTAGTTCTTGTTCCCATTTAAGTTGACCAGGGCAACCCATTTTGGGGTTGCCCGCTTTTTGACTGTTGATGCCCCAAATTGTGCAAGCTGGGGAACGAGGCAAGCTACCCGATTTACCGCACAATCCTATGCTTTTGTGGACAAGCATGGTTGGTGTCCAATGCGCATCTCCAAATTGGCCTTTGCTTTTGTGGCAGCAAATTCTGCAGAACCATCAACAGCGACACAGGCAAAGCCTTAAAGCACTGCCATCGGCTAAAAACTGATGGCTTCCAACATGTACGTGTCTTAGGATATCCGAACTCATCTTCCCAACGCGAACACGTCAAAGCATTGTCGCTGGCTCGTCATCCAAGTGGATGCGGCTAGCATGTGTTGCTACACTGCGAATACCAAGGACATTTATTGGACATGAAGTCGGGGCTTTCAAGTATAGGGATGGTGGGACGTGGGTGTGTGTGTGTGTCTTTGTTCGTGTACATTGTGTTGTTGTGTTAAGGGAAAGCCAAAAGGAAAACCACCATGCTTTTGGAGGGCCCCAAATCCACCATGCTTTTGGAGGTCCCCCTCCCCCCCCCCCCAAGAAAAAACACACACACACACACCCATATATGGCGGGGCCCGCCGCGCGGGACGGACGCCGCGGAGCCGAAACCAGCTGAGGAGCTCTTGGTAGCGCTGGGTCATCTGAACCCGGATCTCCGTGAGCTCGTCCGGAAGCAGCTCATCGCCCATGATGGCCTGAGACCGCGCCTTCGGTGTCGTTTGATTTGAGGTCCTGAATTGTGTGGATTTACAGGGAAGCCAAGAGAAAACACGGCCATTTTAAAGTGTCCCCCAAAGAAGACACACCCAAATGCCTGATTCATCGATTCTTGCACTTTGGCCGTGGTGATCGCCTCTTGATTCCTTTCGCTTTTTGAGGAGACTCTGGCGTGCGCTGGGCTCAGGCATCTTGCTGGTTCTCAGCCAGCAATCTGGGTGAATTATAATATTTCACCAGCCTGAAAAAAGGTGGTTTGGGGGCTATTCATTCCTCACATAAACCATTTGGGGTGAATGAGGTCGTGTGAGGTCGGTTTTTCTTCACCCACGACGCTTGCAAGTCAAGTCACGTTGTAAGCAGAGACCAGCCTCTGGAAGCCTGAGACGTCACCCCCATGGCCGGAAACATCCCTACCTGAAGGGTGAGGGGGCCCGGGGGTCCCTCAATTTTATGGATCTAGTCTTCCCCACAAAGGAGAGGAACCATAAATGGAGATCTCCAGGGGTCCCCCCCCTCCCCCAATTCCATTTACAAGGGGGCGGGGATCCGGAAACCAAAGGCCTCCTCCAATCTTGGCAACGTTTGCTAGCCACTGGGGTCAGGTAACTTGATATTGTCACAAATCCTGCATAGACTTCCAGGCCTACGTGTCTGCTACTTACAATGATGTCCTCTGCAAGTTGTTGGCAGAGGGTTAGCTGCATAAAGCGTTTGCCAAACAGAACACAGCAGAAACAGTGAACAAACAAGGCTTCATATATCTCAGCTTCCCCCAATTGGTGGTTTGGATTGGTGGTTTGGTGGTTAGGGGTGGTTTCCATTTACCCTCTACAAGAACCAGAGGTTGAAATCCAAATCCAGCCTACAAGTCAAACCACAAGTAGGGGATACCTGACTCTCATGCAACATGCAAGGAATTATTCCCTTCCTGGTCCGAGCCACGCTCCTGTGCCTTAGGGTCATCGGGGTTCACATCCGGGTGCTCTGAAAGCGTCACGCGGCGGAAAGCTTTGCGAGTGTCCTGAAAGGCACAAGATGCAGAAAAACCGATAAAGGTTGATTCCGGGATTCGTATCATGTGCCTAGGCACTCTGATCCAAGCTGTGGTTGATTCTGGGATTCGTATCATGTGCCTAGGCACTCTGATTGTCCATTCAGCTTGAAGAAACGACTGTGGAACTGCTCACAACCAGCCGGTTTGCTGTGTGAAGTTGCGGGCAGTGTATCGACATTATAGGGCTGTGGTCACCGGTCTGGGCATGGACGAAAATCTGACAATCCCACTTGCGGCCATGATTATTGAATATTGCTTAAGTAGTCCTTAAGTTGGCAGGAAACGGAGTGTGGAAGCACATGGGCTTCAAGCCTAAAGCCCAGTGTTACCCACACTTTCCGCAACTTTCTCGTTGAGACTATGGAAGCAAGTGGTATGGATTCATCCATGCGCAAAGGTCCGTTCATGCATCCAAGGCTCACTCTGGCTGGTGCCCCGTGCCAGACCCAGAACCTCAGTGCCGGCGCCTGATCTCCTGTTCCACCCGGAGGTCACCCCCAAGCGCTTTGCGGGGAACAAGTTCCTTGTCATCGACCTGGGGCCCAAAAGGGTCCCTAAGACGTAGGCGTCCTTTTGGCAAAAAACGGGCGGGCTTTCCCTGGCAAATGGATGGCATAAAGCCGATCCGAGCCAGTGGGACCCAAATCTACCCAAACTTTCCGATCAAAAGATCCAAGCTCCCACTGCGAGATATCTGCCCAGACACGTCGTAGGGGTTTTCGTTGGCATGGCGTGCCAAGCGGACTTCTCTGCCAGGCCGCCCCGACCTGCAGGTTGGCTGCAGCCAGGTGGAATTCTTGTCTGCCCTCAGATCCCATAACACCTAAAATCCGAAGTTCTTGCGAAGGGGATGCCAACCGCCACAAAACGTAGATCCCATTGGTATCACAGACAATGGCATGACCTAACACCCCGTTTCCCACAACTATGGCGACAGCTGTTGCTTGGTCATGCTTCACCAACCAAGGACAAAGCATTGCCGCAAATTTCGATGTAAGGGCCCGGCTCGACAAAGCCAGGTGCATGCGACCCAAGCCAGAGGAGGATGAAGCACGAGATGCTTCTCAAGTGCGAACTCCGGGCCATGGCTCAAACGGCTTGCGAATGACCTCAAGCCTTCAGCTGAAGCATCTGGCGACTGGGTGCGATCGAACGAAGGGTGACGAAGTGCGGTTCGCAAGAGAAGGGTGTCCATACGTGACACCCAGGAGGCGTCTTTCGGGGCCATTTACACTGTGCCGCTGCGCTTTCACGATAGGCTTCTTTCTGCTTCTGAGCCAGAATTGTCAGAGGCCTTCCTCCAACGAACCACCGGCGCAAGCTTATGTGAAGCAAGCTGGAGACCCTTTGGTAGAAGCCGTTAGCAAGCTACCCAACAGCAACACCCCGACAATCCCTGTTCTCAAATGGCATGCTTGAGATCATGTCCATTAAGTTGCGGGGCGTAACTCCCTCTCATGGGTTCCACGACGGACAGGAGGGTAGCTCAGGTCCAATCCTGCCGCATCTGGGTGTGTCTTTTGACTGCCCCCCTTTCTTTTGGCCTCAGGGAAAGCCAAAGGAACACTATTTGAGTCACAATCAACACCTGGTACTAAAATTGTCTGTCGATCACCATAACCATATCGATTTAGGGCTGAACAATTTCCCTAACCATTATCCACCCGAATCGGTTTTGAGCAAGTGGCTCGTGTTTGTTCTGTGGTTTGAAGGAACTCCAGAGGAACACCATGTTTTTTTCTGGACCTTTGCTGCGGCTTCAAGGAAAGCCAAAGGAAAACCGTGTCGTTTTCTGGGGGGGGCTGGGCCGGCTGCCAGGCATCAGCACTCGCCGGCGCAGCAAGCGCCGGGCCAGGCCTCCCGTTCCGCATGGATGGCGACCATTTTGGGTTTAGAGCAGAACTGTGGGAAATGCAACCCACTTCTGTGATACAACAATAATGGCTTCCCAAAGACTAACCCACCGCATAACGGGGGAGATTCCCTTGTATCACAGAAGTGGGGTAAAACCCCTTGATCCCACAACCCTGTTTTAGAGGGGCATGATTCTATTTGCGGGTACCATTATTTGGGGTGGGTTTAGAATCTGCGCCAAAAGGACACCACCCATTCTTTGTTAAGGCGAGGGGGTTCCCACCCAATAAGGGCGCGGGATTCAAATGGCTGTGGGTCAAAACCAATGGTACCATTTTGGGGTGGTGCACCACCCATTAACCTATTTTTGTGGGGATTGGGATGTTCTTTGGGGGTACGATTTGGCTTTGGACCCATGACCATTTAAAAGAAAGGCACAGATCCAATTTCAGGGTTGTGGGATCACTCGGAGTGGATATCTACTGTGATGCAAGGGAATCCCCCGTTTCTATGATCAAATTCGTCTTTGGGAAGCCCTTTCCGTATCATAGAAGTGGCCAAATGGCTTTTGACGGCTTCAGGGTCCTTGAACTTCTCGGCGCCAGCGAGGCTGCGAGAGAAGCTTCTCACGCAGAATGGACTCCTCGCTTCCGAAACCGCCGGATCGATCGGGTTCGGTTCAGCGAGCGCCGGAAATCAGTGAAGTCGGAAAATGCTTTGTCTTGACGGCCCGCACCATGGATTCAAGCAGTGCATCCTAAATCTGCAGTTTCTTCTGACCATGAGGTTCGTTGTGTTGAAACAACAAGCTTGGGGATCTACGACTAAAAGAGTCAGCCCGCAAACCTTCACATGGGCGTGGGTGAAAAAATAGGTACCCAAAAGGGAACCCTGGTAAATGGAAGCAAAGACTAAAACCAGTGGTCCAATTCCTGGGGCGGGGTTAATTCTGACTCATACCCACATGCCATGCTTTCCCCTTGCGCCATGTCTCCACCCACTGGCGATATGGCGCATCTGCCCAGCCAAGGAAGCTCATAGCCAGGGAGCCTCGGCTATGAAAGCCCCAACGGATGCAAACTGGAGGGTGGAACAGCAAAAACATGTACTAAAATGGGTGTGGGTCAAAATTAAACCACCAGGAATTGGACCGCAGATTTTAGTCCATGTTTCCTCTTACCAGGGTTCCATTTTGGGTACGTATTTTTGACCCACAGCCAAATGGGCAAATGGACACCATCACTAAAACTTGCCTAAGCCTCGGTCTTTGAGATTTTGAGCCACGCCCAAGTTTGATGCTGAAGACCTAGTGTGTTAGAACCTGTACGGCTCTAACCTCAAGAGCCCCCCCGTGAAGCTGCCAAAGTCAGGACTGGTCCCTCGGAGTTCATCTTGGTTGCTCGATCGACCCCTTCGCAAAAACTGAAAACCACTTTTCGTGGGTTCAATACTGAACGCCCAAACAAAATCAACCAAAACGTTGGTGTAAAGATCCCACTACATAGCAACAAAGTTGCTCTTGGGAGACACAGCACCCCCCAACCACGGCCGGTCTGAAGATCCAACCCATTGCAATCAAGTAACCCAGTTGCCCACAAGGCCCAGAAATAAAAGGTGATCACCTTTTGAGGTGACTACCATTGGACCAAAGTGAGAAAACCAAAAGGTGACAAGGTCGGCTTCGAACCCCCCCCCCTCCGCGGCCACTCAGAGCGAACCGGTCACTCGACGAGGCTCCGAGAGTTCCTTGCCGCGTTGAGCGGGTGAGGACCTCGACCTTGGATTGCAACCAACCAACCAACGAAAAGCACACCAAAAAAAAAACACACAAGCAACCCAATAAAACAACAAAGAACAAACAGCCACCCACCCACCCAGCCAGCCAGCTAGCCAGCCAGCCAGCCAACCAACTACGAACCAACCAAAAACAAACAAAAACCAACAAAAACAGCCCAAAATGCAAACAATGGCAAACAAACAAAGGCTTGGGTTTGGCCAAGGCTGGCCGAGCCTTTGCCCTTGTGCCACAAGTTAATCAGATCTGAGGCAAGGCGCCCAGCCAGCCTCCGGATCGCCCAGGCCCGGGGATTTCACTGCGAGGGTCGGGTGGATCTCCATAAGCCATGCCTCGCTTGCTGCGATGTCTTGAGGTTTTTGAGCACCCCGTCCAACGAACGCCCGGGCTTGAAAGCGAAGTCTTTGGATTAGCTCGTCTCATTCCAATTTGCCACTCCCTCAAGCATGGAAGCTCCCCCAATTGGCCTCTGTAAATGGAACCAAGTCTTCCCGAGCTTCCGTGTTTGTCTGGGGGAGGGTAGCGCAAGCAGAAGCTTGGGGAAACTTGGTGAATCCAACTTGAGTGGATTCCGCCCGGTTCAGCTAAGAAGTCCACAGGAAGTGGATTCCGTCCGGTTCAGTTAAGAAGTCCACAGGCAAGTGGGGTCGGGCCGGTTTGGATGACGCCTTCATGGCCAGTTGCCTGTCGAGGCGCCCGGCCCTTTCTGTCCACCACCAAGTCCGCAAAGAAGTGAAAGCCGAGCGAGCCACACGCATAGGGAACAGCCTTGAACCAAAGGCGCATCTGGGAGCAGAGCTGCAAATGAGTACTAAGTACAATACATTCAAGAGTCACAGCACAAATAGAAGGAACGCCCTTCAACAAATGACACGGGCGAAGCTTACCAACCAAAACCAAATCAATATCAATCAGTCGCATTCAAGGCCGAACGAAACAAATGATAGACGACAATCACTGCGTCCCGGAAGCATTCGCGACACAGTCCAGCTTGTGTCTTGCTCCCAGCCTTGGGTCGGCGAACCGTTTTGAAGCATGCGCAGGTCTCAAAACAGGCCCCTTTTTTCTATGGCAAGCTTGCCCTCTGACCAACAAAAACATGGAAGTGCACAGACCCCCTTCCCAAAAGGAAAGCAGTCTTTGAAAGGGGCTTGTGCTCTTCCATGTTTGTTGATCAGTGGATAGTAGTCGTGCCGCCCTCAAGCAGTCGACGCATAACTAAGCGGCAAGAAAATGGCCAGCGCCAGCTTGATGTTCTTCCACACCACCTGTGCAAAGACTGCGTAATTCAAATGCTTGTGCCTGTCGCAAAAAAGACGAAATCGGCCGCTGCAAGAGTTGTCCGCCGCTTCAGCGACTCCCGTGCTGAGCTCAGGACGCTTGGATCCAAGCCGTTCTGCTCTTTCGCAATTCTGAACCACTTGTGCAGGGAGCCTCTGGCATGCTCGGGCACTTGCTCGACAAGCTGCCGAGAACCACAAAGTCTAAGCTGCAAAGAGCAAGGCTGACACATTCCATGCTCGGAGTCTCCCCCCCCGCCTCCGGACCCTGCATCGTGCTCAGCACCCTCGGGATGATCCCAGCTTGGTGCAGTCGGACATTGGTATGAGCCAGCCTCAGCAAGATGCTGAGAATCTGGCACCAGGAGCCTCAAAAACCGATGAACATGTCATACCTACAAAAAAACACCATGTTTTAGTCAGGGTACGACATTTTTACAGGTTCTTGAAGCCCTAGGCAAGAGTGCAAGCTAGAAGAAACCAACCCAGCACACACCCAGTTCGGTATGTCTCTCCAAATCGTGGGGCCCAAATGACGGCTTTCCTTTTGGCTTCCGATGCCAACATGCCACAAAGCGCACTGGGTCCCATCCAGCCTCTATCTTCGGAATGTGGTGGGTGACATGCATAAGCAGGTCCTTGTCAAGCGCCCAACTTGCCAGAGCTGAAGCTGGATGCATTGTATTGAAATAGGCTGAAGATTTTCAACAGACTCGCACAAGTAACCCCCTGCCAGCCCACGATGGACAGCCCTGATTGCTTAAGTCCTGGAAATCTTCGTCGCTTTGCGCCGAGTAATTCTTCTCCAGGAAGCCAGAGCGGAAGTAACCTCATGTTTTCCTTGTGTTCTTGACAGTTCTTGAACGCCTCCAAACTGCATCAACCAAGCGTGACATCCATGGTCTACATGTGCGGTCGAGTATGGCTCGCATCGACGCCAGCAGTGCCGCTGCCAGCCTATTCAAACCAAGTCTCCGTACTCACTGATATAGAATCCTGACTCTGCAGCAAATGCGCGTATTGGGTGAAAGTAGACGCCACCATTCCAAATATATGTTGGCTCAGTCATCCCCCTACTCATCTGCCAACAATTCTGCCATCTTTCACTCCTAAAAAATGGGGGGAGGGGCCCAAATAAGGCCTTGTTTATCGCTTATTTCGGCTCCCTCTCCCTCTCCTCCCTCCACCCCCACCCAAGCCCCCATCTTTCACCCTCCACCGCGAGTTCACTGCAATGAGATTCGTGCGAGGTGCGAAAGGGATCCATGGAGACCACGGTCCCATAAATGCGGATATCCGTCTTCACCGTGACTGGCGGCCAAACGCCTTCCAGCCTCAGTCGTGACCGCAACCTTCACGGGGCAGGCGTGCTGTGACGGTCATTCCCCTTGGCAAGCTGTAGCTTTCCTCTTTTGTGCAATCTGGAGTTGATCAATAGTCACTTCATCAAAAGGCCCTCCAGTTTTGACCATTGGTACTTTTCCCACGTGGTTGTAGTGGCTTTCCCCAATGGCTATCCCATGTACAGGACCTTTTGATCAATCCCCAATCTTCGTTATAACTTTCAATGACTCTGCCGCCATGCTTCTGGTAAAGCACAGGGTCCAAAACATACTGCTGCACCACAGCTCTCCTGAGGGACCGCATCACAGACCGCCCCGTCCGTGATGGCTTTGAGCGCAATATGTGGCCATCCAAACGCTCGCAATCACGGCACAACACCAGGAGTAGCATATTGCCCTCCAACACAAATCTAAACGTGCATAGTGCCAGTGCACTGTCTGCCTATCTCTGTGCTTGTCAATTGCCCATGCACGTGATGCAGTTCGTTTGCTTGCTTGCTTGCTTGCTTGCTTGCTTGCTTGCTTGTTTGTGTTGCCGAGGTTCAGTTTGGTGTGTGTGTGTGTGTGGCCGTGTGTTTGAGTTCAGGAGAAAGTTCAGGAGAAAGCCCATCTGCATACGCACGCATGTGTCTGTGTGTGTGGGCGTGCCAGTGTGTGTGTGTGTGTGTGTGTGTCTGTCTGTCTGTCTGTCTGTCTGTCTGTCTGTCTGTCTGTCTGTCTGTCTGTCTGTCTGTCTGTCTGTCTGTCTGTCTGTCTGTCTGTCTGTCTGTCTGTCTGTCTGTCTGTCTGTCTGTCTGTCTGTCTGTCTGTCTGTCTGTCTGTCTGTCTGTCTGTCTGTCTGTCTGTCTGTCTGTCTGTCTGTCTGTCTGTCTGTCTGTCTGTCTGTCTGTCTGTGTCTGTCTGTCTGTCTGTCTGTCTGTCTGTCTGTCTGTGTCTGTCTGTCTGTCTGTCTGTCTGTCTGTCTGTCTGTGTGTGTGTGTGTGTGTGTCTGTGTGTGTGTGTCGTGCGTGCGTGTGTGTGAGTGTGCGTGCGTGCGTGCGTGTGGTGTGGGGGTGTGTGGGTGGGTGGGTGTGGTGGTGTGTGTGTGTGTGTGTGTGTGCGCGTATGTGATGTGTGTGTGTGTGTATGTGTATGTGTGTGTGTGTGTGCGTGTGTGTGTGTGTGGTGTGAAGGTCTGTGTGTGTGTGTGTGGTGTGAAGGTCTGTGTGTGTGGTGTGAAGGTCTGTGTGTCTGTGTGTGTGTGTAAGTGTGTGTAAGTGTGTGTGTAAGTGTGTGTAAGTGTGTGTAAGTGTGTGTAAGTGTGTGTAAGTGTGTGTAAGTGTGTGTAAGTGTGTGTAAGTGTGTGTAAGTGTGTGTAAGTGTGTGTAAGTGTGTGTGTGTAAGTGTGTGTAAGTGTGTGTAAGTGTGTGTAAGTGTGTGTGCAAGTGTGCGTGCGCTTGCGCCAGTGTGTGCGTGCTGACGGTTTATCCTTCCCTCTGACACGCTCTCACTCTCGCCCACTGACAGGAATTAACTGGTTGGGCGACGGCAAGCGAGTGAATGACTGTGAGGGAGGGACCCTTGTGGTTAACAGGCGGTTCTTGATCTTGCTATCCAGGATCCTTCTTCCGAAGCCCAGAGAAAATAGCGATCGGTTTTTGACAAGAACGCTGGTTGAAAAGAATGGACAAGGAATCAACCCTCTAGAATTTCGAGGGGTCCAGTTCCCCCCCCCAAAAAAAACAAAAACAAAACAAAAACCGAGGGGTCCAGTTCCCCCCCCCCCCAAAAAAAAAAAACAAAACAAAAACCGAGGGGTCCAGTTTCCCGTCCCAAAAAAAGACGTCCATCGTAGAGCTGTGCGTGGGGTTACCTCCCGAAAGGCGGCCGAGCTCCGAGCGGCTGCTTGGCAGAGGGCGTCGCGTCACGGAGCCGGCGGCCTCCTCTCCATCCGCCGAGGAACATTGGGTTGGACTGTGTACACAACCGCGGGATGCCAACCTGAAGCTCGAACCATTTTCAGAAAAAAAAAGCAGTGCCCAACTTTCGAAAAAAAGACATGTGTCGAAACAAAGAAGATGTTCGAGTGCGCAAATGCCAGCACCATGTCACGACGGTTGCGTATTTGTGCCGCTTCTTGTTGGACCGCAAGAAGCTATGCGCAACAAGCGCACACTGCCAACAACTGTCAAGGATGAGACAGCGTGCTCAAACCTGGTGTGAGGCTTTTACAGGCTGCAGTGGCTGCACATGTGCAACACGCGTTGGACACTTTGGAGTCGAGCATGGCAATCATCAAGAGTCTGCCAAGGTGCCCAGCATCCCTCGACTTCGCGCCAATTCCAAGCTTCACATTGTCGGCTCATTGCGCAGCATATTTCACCTAAGCTGGGCAAGGCCGCATCTGAAGCACATACTTCAGCTTGCATACTTTTTGTAGCAAGAACCTGCTGACATGGGCAATTGCCCTCGTCACCTGAGCAGCTGGGTCAAGGCATTCGTCCCAGCTCATTTGCCATCTCATGTTCTGCCAGGGTTCTACAGGCCTCAGCGGTCTCGGCATGCCCCGCCGCTGCCACCAAACCCAAGCACTGGGCGTCCTCAGAGCGCTTTCTTCAAAACTCAAATTCCTGGATCCACAAAAACTTAAAACCAAAAGATGAGATATGCGGCAGCTGGTCGCAAGCTCTGGATGTGCAACACGTGATTGCTCCAGAATGGTACCCATTTTTTCTGTGTAGTCTATTTTAGTAGGGGAACCCTCCCCCAACAAATGGGAAAAGGGCACTACTGGGGGACCTAGCATGAATAATTCAGAGGCGTCCGACGCGTCCTCCAACGGCACGAACTCGCAGCTTGAGACCTGGCAGCTCCGTTTGGATCGATCCATTTCGACGAAGTCGTTCCCTTTTTTTTTTGGGCCCCCCCCCCCAGGGCCCCTCCCAGGGCCCGGGCCCCCCGGCCCCCCCCCCCGCTCCCCCCCCGCCCCCCCCCCGCCCCCCCCCCCCCAACCCTTGCTTTTTCAAACCACCCAAAGAGGGGTACACGTTACAAAGCAAATACCCTCATTCTTCCCAGGGCACGAAGGAGAAGTGACATCGGCCAATACATTCTGGATCTGGCATTGGCGTGCGGAGAAGCAGCCCGTGTCCTTCTCCCAAGTTGCAACTCGAATTTCTGCCTTTCGACCCCCGAGGAAACCTACTCTGAGGCACCCCCCCTTCGCACGGGTCTAATGAAATCCATAAAAACGGGTCAGGTCCCAGCCTCAGCCTTGGAGTCACCCAAGACATCCTCCACTCTGAAGCGGATCTCGATCCCGCGACCGCCCCATGCACCTGGCTGAAAAGCCTGACCTCTGATCCAGTGGATTGGCACCACAAAAGAGGGCTGAACTTTTCATTTCCCACGAAAATGGTTGTTCCAAAACGTCTTGAGTCCATGAACTCAGGGAAAAGCAGTGAGGTAAAGGGGAAAAGCAAATGGCACAATTCTGCTTGGGGTTCTGTCTCTCTCTCTCTCTCTCTCTCTCTGCCGCTACGGGTCCTTTGGGTTAGTCATCCACTTGACCTAGGAAATTGTGCCACTAGGTCCTCCAGAGAGGTTAGAATAAGGATACCCCTTGTTTCTGTAGTCTATTTTAGGGGAACCGAATCTTCCAACCAAAAAAAGTCGGGTGAGAAGGGCACCTAGCTGGGGGAGCTAGGCCAGGTCAAGCTTCTGACATGGGGGAAGCACATTCTGGTGCCATGGGTTTTTATGCGAATTCCGGCCGCACCTTCGGGCTTTCGTACGAAGGCCACATGCTGATCCTGCACGGAAGCGAGATGAGGAAAGCGCCACTGAAAAAGAAAACTCGCAAAGGGATACAAAGGCATATTGCTCCCAGATCTGGACTCACTGAAAATGTTTGCAAAAGGATACAAATCAGAAATGTTCACAAATGATCACAAAATGTTCACAAAAGGATATCGCTCCCAGATCTGGACTCACTGAAAATGTTCGCAAAAGGATACAAATCAGAAATGTTCACAAACGATCACAAAATGTTCACAAAATGATATTGCTCCCAGATCTGGACTCACTGAAAATGTTCGCAAAAGGATACACATCAGAAATGTTCACAAACGATCACAAAATGTTCACAAAAGGATATTGCTCCCAGATCTGGACTCACTGAAAATGTTCGCAAAAGGATACAAATCAGAAATGTTCACAAACGATCACAAAATGTTCACAAAATATTGTCCCAGATCTGGACTCAAAAATGGCATAAATTGGATGTTCACAAATCTGGATCTCTCACTGAAAATTTCCACAAATCACAAACACGCTCCCAGATCTGGACTCACTGAAAATGTTCGCAAAAGGATACAAATCAGAAATGTTCACAAACGATCACAAAATGTTCACAAAAGGATATTGCTCCCAGATCTGGACTCACTGAAAATGTTCGCAAAAGGATACAAATCAGAAATGTTCACAAACGATCACAAAATGTTCACAAAATAATATCGCTCCCAGATCTGGACTCACTGAAAATGTTCGCAAAAGGACACAAATCAGAAATGTTCACAAACGATCACAAAATGTTCACAAAAGGATATCGCTCCCAGATCTGGACTCACTGAAAATGTTTGCAAAAGGACACAAATCAGAAATGTTCACAAACGATCACAAAATGTTCACACAAGGATATCGCTCCCAGATCTGGACTCACTGAAAATGTTCGCAAAAGGATACAAATCAGAAATGTTCACAAACGATCACAAAATGTTCACAAAAGGATATTGCTCCCAGATCTGGACTCACTGAAAATGTTCGCAAAAGGATACAAATCAGAAATGTTCACAAACGATCACAAAATGTTCACAAAATAATATCGCTCCCAGATCTGGACTCACTGAAAATGTTCGCAAAAGGACACAAATCAGAAATGTTCACAAACGATCACAAAATGTTCACAAAAGGATATCGCTCCCAGATCTGGACTCACTGAAAATGTTTGCAAAAGGACACAAATCAGAAATGTTCACAAACGATCACAAAATGTTCACACAAGGATATCGCTCCCAGATCTGGACTCACTGAAAATGTTCGCAAAAGGATACAAATCAGAAATGTTCACAAACGATCACAAAATGTTCACAAAAGGATATTGCTCCCAGATCTGGACTCAAATCAAACAACTGTTCACTCAAACATACTCAAACTCAGCCCGCCAAGCTCTTTGGCCCAGGCGCTTGATTGTCGTAAACAGGCTGAAAGGTTTGTGGAGCAAGCTGTGAGCCTTTCCAAACGTCACTGGCGACAGGAACCTCCACGCAGCATCAAAGTTCTGAACGGCCCTCTCGAGTCAAGCGGTGGGCAAGCTGATGATCTAGCCAGCTACAGGAGGCTGATCTTAAAAAAAGAGAGGGAAACACACACCAAGCAATGCATGACTGCCAGCATCTTGCCTAGCGCCTGGACACGATCCACGCAAAGGGGCTGCATTGAGCAAGCGCCAGCCCCATGATCTGGCATGGCTACATGGGTGCGCATAAAAATAGCGAACCCCTACAATTGTGGTTTCCCAATTAGCTTCTCCCTTTCACACCCCTTTGGGGGTAATTGCCCTCCGAAAAAAACCGAGCCATGGCTCTCCTTCACAGTATCTGCAAAAGCTCTCAGCTCGTCTGCTGCCGTAGGCATATCGAAGCAAGGCGGCATGCCACCCACCTGGCAAAGTCCAAACGACACGGCAAGGTTTTAGCTGAGCAACCTAGCACAATTTGTATGGGCTTCCTCTGTAAAGACATCGGAGATGGCTTGTTTCCGTGCCCCCCGCCAACAGTAGATTGCCGTCATACTGTGGATGGACAAAATCCTGCACCACCTAAGAATCCCTGGAAGGATGACCCCCCCAGCAAATACCAAGAAACAATGGTTTCCCATGGTTTCGAAGTGGTTCAGGAGTTTGTCCATCCACAGTATGGTCAGTTGCTCAGCAGTTCAGCGGCTTTGCAGGGCGTTGCGGCTTCCCGCCGTGTTGGGCTGATGCCTCCATGCGAGAAATCGGGCTTCGGATCTGCAAATGCTCCAAGCCGCCAAACTTACGGTACTTTCTCGAAGTCAAGCACTGCTCACAAACTCATGCCTGAAGACATGTTGGCAGATGGACTTGCCAAAGAGACGGGCGGTTCTTCGGGGAACTCCACGGATCGCCTTTGGTCTCGCGGGTGGTTCTTGGGCTTGGCTCTCAAGGCAGGTTGTGTTTTTGGTTTGTTTTTCCCGTGGGGGTGGCTCATCAGCAAACAACTGGGGCAAACCGCAGGCTTTGGTCTTTCGTTCTACCACCAAGGTGCCATTTTGGGGATTCCAATGCTTGAGTCACCGCCTTGTGGGTAGCAGTCTTCTGAGAACTTCCTCCCACCTCCGTCTGCATCTCAGCCGGAAAAAAAAAGAAGCCAAATGTCTCGTATCTGGGCTGTCCTCAAATCCCCTACTAAAAGTTTGACTTCTAGTGGGTTGAATGGAAACCACAGCTAAACTCTAAAAAGGCAAAAAAAAGCCAAGGAACCGGATTGCTGGGAGGTATTCAAGTATCGAGCCGCAAGAAGCTGACACATGAGGCTTTTGGCAGGCCTGGTCTGCGAGATCTTTGCTCACTCTCCAGGTCTGTAACCTTGGACTCAGATTGATTCTTGCAATCTGTTTGCCTCAAATTGATAAAACAAATCCATGTTTCGGCATTTCAGCCCCTTACCAGGGAATCCAACGAGAAACGTTCAGCGAGTTAAAGCTTTCGTGAAAGCCATGGAATCCGTGGCCGAAGGCGGCCAGGAATTCGGGTCAACCTCACAATCATATCATTTTAGGGGAAATAGATGGATATCCCTGATAGATGATTAAACCACCAGGTAAACCAGGAATCGAAACCCATCTATTTTTCCAGCACAACCAAAAAGGACACCTATGCTCAGAATGTTAACCCCGGATGAACAAAACCCCTGTTGAGCTCATATGCAGGTTTTCCCCTGCAAAAGCGGTCTGAATCCCCACTAAAACCAGGGGACACCCCATATTGATAGACAGGGGTTTATTAATTGATGCGAGGTCACATTACTTTGCTGCCAGGAGTCGCATCATAGTACCTTGCAACAAGGCACGCGCGTTTTGCGCGAGTGACCCTATCCAAAGCCTGGCCTGCCTTCCTGAACCGCACAGGAGCTGTTGAATTCAGCCAGGCAGCGCTCGGCACTGCTGATCCTGCCAGGTGCGATCGCATGACATGTCAAGCTGGCACTGGAGCGCAAAATCCTGAGGGAAGCCCTTACTTCCGTCGCCTTCAAATCGCTTTTTCTTACCCCCCGTCTGCAAGCTGCGGCCCAAACAGGCTGGAAAGTCTAGCTTCCAAACATGGACGGATGAGTCGGTAGCAGAGCGCGCATCAAGGAATTGGTCGAGAGGAGGCATCAGCAGATCTCAAAGCGGCGCCTCGAAGCTCTTCGTTTTTTGGTGCGTTTTATCAGCTTCCCCCCCGAATTTGCGGCTTGGAGATAAATCGGTGGTTTGGTGTTCGGGGGTGGTTGCCCATTTACCCTCTACAGGAACCAGGGGTTCAAATCCAAATGCAAGCCACCAATCCAAACCACCAAGGGCTACCTCGCCTGTGACTTGCAAGCAGTTTGCAGGCATACCTTGTTGGGAAGAGAAAGGCAGCTTGTTGTGATATGTTAATCATTCCTGGACAAAGTTAACTGGGCTGTCCAAACTGATCCCCTGCTAAACGTGTCTAACTCATGGGCTGAATGGAAACCCAACCACGAAGGCACCGTATGTCTGGGAACCACCCGGAACAAAAACCGCTGGACGGGCCCGGCCTTCTCTCCAAGAAGTTCATTCAGCTCCGGCATGAAAAGCAACTTCTGGCTTCCAGCCTGCAGCCTCCAAAGATCCTGGCCATACCCGAGCAAGCCGCACCCGAATTTCCCAATCGAAGCAGCCCTCACCGGGAACAAAAAAACGCTTTTGAGGACTGCATGCCATCGAAGGCAGGAAGATTCATGCCTTGTCATGTTGTTCATGGCGCAGAGGGCTCAAACTCACAGAAGAAGATGCGCGTTGATCAAAAACAGATGACGTTGAAAGGGTGGACACTTAAACAGGCATAGCCGATCCGATCAAGCTGGCAGGTCCTTTGATGGGATCAGGTCAGCATAATCGTTCCTCAGATTGGCAAGTGCTAATGGGTTTTGATGTAGCTGTTTGTGTTATTATTTATGCTTGGTAGACCTTGGCGGATATGGGTCAATCACCCGAGGAAATCAAATGGAACGGAATCAAACGAACCACATAGTTCCCCCCCCCACCAACATGGAAGCGCACAAAGCCCCTTTCCAAAACTCCTTTGCCCTCAGATTCCCTGCTCAAAGTTTATCTTTTAGTGGGTTAAATGGAAATCCCCACTAAACCAACTAGAAGGATCTTAAAAGCAAAGTTGAACACCGAGAAAAGCCGGGCTTGCCACCAAGAAAAGGAACATCGTCTTTCTACAGGGCCCGTGGAGTATCTTGGCGTTGCAACACCTTCCAAATAGCCCAGCTGCGACGTGTAGGCCAGGCCCAGGTTCCACCTGCGATGCACTGTTGCACGGCAGCTGCGGCATACGGATGCGTCTCAAACAGAATGGAACAACTTGGGGGGCCTTTCCTTCCGGGGACCCTACAATTTGTGGTCTTGCTCTTGGTTTCCCTTTGAAACCAAGCAACAAGGCTTCACTCGAAACGACACATCCTTTCCTCCAAGTTGGCCTCTGGTTTCCCGGCATCGAATCAGTTTCCCCGGGGTTGCTGCTTTGCAGCCGACTCGGTTTGGAGGTGTTCCACGCGGTTTCCAATTGCCTTCTACAAGAACCAGGGGTTCAGTGCCAACAACAAACCACCAATTCAGGTACCCTGACAAGTTGGCGATGTCTCTTGTCAAAAACCAAAAAATGTGCATCAACACGAACAACGACTCCTCAGATCCGAGTGGCCCTGTTCGGACGCGGAAATGAAAGGTGATCACCCTAAACATGGATGCCAAAAGGGGGAAAGCCAAATGGTCAGGTCCGGTTCATTCGCTAAGTTACTTAAAGACATCCCTCAAAATGGGTGTTCCGTTGGTTCCCCTTTAAGCCCTTCCAAAGTCCTCACCCTAAAGATGGCTTTGGGCAGGAGAGAGGCACGGCCAAAACACGCGCAACGCCGGCCTCTGGCCGGGCTTGGCCATGTGGATGCCAAAGAACGCCGGCAGTGTGCGGAGCATGTCCGTGGAAACCTTCAGAATGCATGAAGGTTTTACGCGCACACACACATATGTGTGTCTCTCTCTCTCTCTCTCTTATTTATTTACACACGGGCCCACCCTGCCAACACTTGCCTGGGGGTGCTTGGGGCTGCCTTTAAAGCAAATTTTGGGCTTATGGCTTGCTGACATCTTAAGGAGGGTGGGTCTTGGGTTTGTTTGGCTTCGCATTAGGCTTGGCAAAGGGCTGATATCCAGGATGCTATTGGGTGGGTTTCAGGTTTCCTTTGGGTCAGCTTGGGTTGGCTTGGGGCCGATTTGTGCTAGGTGTGAGACTCGGTTTTTGCAGTGGCTGTGACCACACCCTAGAGCAGCCAGAAAGCCAAACCCAAAGACCACCTTAAACCCACCCAACAGCATCCTGGATATCCGCCCTTTGCCAACCCAATTGTGAAACCCAAGCAACGCCAAGACCCACCCTCAGGCCCTGCCGGGGCTAGTAAAGAAAACAAACACCTGTTCCCATCCCGGTCCTCAAACAAAAATGAACTTGCAGCCAAGCCACAATATCTGCAGCGACATCAATGTAAAGCGCATCTGGCCTACGTAACCCGACTTGAAATGATCACATCCGACCGCGGGAGACTACGCTGCGAGCATCGCCCTTGCACATGCGCATGAATTTGAGTTAGCTACCCCTTGGTGGACATCACTCAAATGGGGGGTTGTGTCCACAAACCACTTTTCAGCGGGTCCTATCAAAGTTCGAAGCCACATTATATGGCTTAAATGTCCAAGGCATGTTTCATGATTTCATGATATAAATTGAACAGCAACATCTCTGCCTTCAATAGAAGTATATTGATCCGAGTCATCAGATTGAAAAAAATATCCATTCATTCCTGTCAAAACGAAACGCGGCCAGCCTGAAGAAACCCGCGTTGAAGACAAAGCGCATTGGTCTTCCTGCTGCGCTCGGCTCTCATGAGCAAAGTATGTCTGCCCTGCCTGCTGGATCGCGTGGGACCAGATCTTGCTGCATCCAGAAACCTGGCCGCCGAATCCCAGCTCGTGGCATGGGTGCTTCAAGGGCCCTGAAACTGGTTGACGTTGGAAGGGGATCAAAAATTGGAAACAAAAAGGCAGTTAAGCGGGGATTCCCGACTAAACCACAAGCAAAAATGTAACATGCTTCGCAACAACAACCATGAAAACATGGTGCTTTCGGCTGCTTGGCAGTAACTTTCACGGCTTCCAACATGCTCTCGTCAAGTGCTAAGATATGGTGGCAGCTTCAAGGCGTCTCCTGAAACTTGCCTCCTTCCACGGCAGCCTCCCGCGGGAGCAGATCAAACTGCATGCGGTGCATGATCCTGCCAAGGGAGCATCCCAGCCAACCTGTGAGGCACAATCCAAACCCGGTATTAAAATGGTCTACCCAGAACCATGTAGAGACTTAAGCAGGCGGCCGCAACTATTTCTGGCTGGGACTGCCCCTTACTAACCTTCATCTACCCGGGTTTTGAGCACGTGGCTCATGTAGCCCTCACCCCACATGGCCTAAACGTTGGCCATTGCGAGCTCAGCCAGTCCAGCAAGGTGTAATTCGATTGCACTGCACCTCAGCATGGGGTCAGGACGACCCATCATCCAAAGATGACTTCGATTGTTGTTCCAACCGTTCACGATTTCTGAGGATACCTGACAGCCCAGTTGTCAATGATCTTCAAGCATGATGAGGGCAATGAGCAAATCTGGAATTTCAACAGGCCGGTCGAGCGCATGTGAATCCTGCCGCCTTTGTGCCACGGTTAATAAAGGCAAGCTGCGTAGCGCAGATTCCTTAGGCCGGCGCGTTCGCTTTCCCAAGACGTCAGAAAACCCCTTTCAATTGGGCAAGGGGGATGTGGGTTTAGATTAAAATAAGGGATTCCCCAAAATGGGTGGTGTCCTTATGGTTGCTCTTTCTTTTTTCACCCCCAAAAGGGGTAAAAAGGGGTATCTGCACACAATCAGAGCCCACCCATGTCTGGAAAATCCACGCACAAAAAAGGAGCCGCCCATGTTGCACCTATGGATCCGAAGACTGTCAATGGCGCTGGCCGAGTCATTCGGGCAGCAAACGTCCGTGCTAACTAAGGTACAGACCGCATGCCGTTTCGGCATGGCCTTGGCCAGGAGTGTTTCGGCATGGCCAAGCGTGTTTCGGCATGGCCAGGCGTCCAGGCGTGGTTCAGCAGTTACGAGAGCTGTGCCATGAACATGGCAGTGTGAGCTGCCATCATCTTCAAGGCTCGCTCATCCGATGAGTCGAAAGCGATGATGTTGCCTTTCTCATCTAGCTTGTTCAAGAGCTGGATCACTGCAACCACCTTGCCCTCCAACTCCACAGGTGCGCAAAGCATGGATACCGTGCGATACTCCGACTTCACCGCTCTGGCGCTCCATCGGGGGTCCTTGGTCACATCCTTGATGTTGAGCATCTCCTTGTTGCAGGCCACCCAGCCGGCCAGGCTGTGCTCATTTTTTTCTATCCGCAGAACCCCATCCATGCCCGAGGCAAAGGTGCTCCAAAGCTCTCCCTCTTCCACTGCCCACAAAGTCGTCCGGTCGCAATGCAGCGCGGTCTTCCCATCTTCCTGCGAAGCGTATGCGAGCCGAGTCTCTGCTTCTTGTTTAGGCCGAGAGGAATCATTGCATCTGAATTAAGGGATCCGCAAGGTAAAGGCCCTTCATCATGGTGACCTCGTGCATGTATGGTCAGCTCCCCCTTATTTCAATGGCAAAGGCCATGCTTAAGCTAAACTCGACCTTCAGAGCCTTCAGCACATATGGCTGTGGCTCAAATACATGTACCAAAAATGGCACCTTGGCAAATGGAACCAAAGACTAACATGCGTAACCCAAGCTGTTGAATTTTGAGCCACAGCCATATGGGGAACCCGGGCATGGCGCGCCAAGGAGCCATCACCGTCTTCATGATCTTGGCCAGCTCCTTCTCCTTCTTGGCGCGCTCCGCAGCCTTCAGGTCGATGACCAGCAGGTTCGTCATCCCAATGAGGCATCCGCAAATGACCCCCACCTCGGTTCCGCGCTATTGGCTCCTTCTTCTTAGCGGGGTTTCATCGTTCCGATAGTTAAACAGCTGAAGATATCTTATCCCCCGATCGCACATCTTAACCAAATGGAAGTTTTGGGAAACTGGACCCCTCGATTTTTTAGGGGTTGATTCCAGCCACTATTTTTAACCATCGTTCTTTTCAAAAACCAGCTGTTTCCCTGGGCTTTTTTCATGGTTTCCTCAACAGGAGGATCCCTGGAAAGAATGGGGAAGATACCGCTAGAGAAATGGTTTAGGTTTTCCTCTTGGTTTCATACTTGGGATCGGTGGAATCGAACTATCACGATCGGTGCGAGAGGTTGGGAATGACAACGAGTCCGGGTGTTGGGAATGAACCCGATCCGGGATCACCTTAAAGGAAGCCACAAGGGATGGTTTATGGGGATCATTCCCTCATTCCCGGCTGAGAACCAGCAAGTCAAACCTGAGGTTACCCCTCCTGTCCACGTTGCCATTGAACCCACCCAGAGGGTGCCTCTTGACGACTAGGCTTCCAGGGCCCAGTCAGGTTCCATGTTAGTGGACAGGACCATTTTCCTTTTCGGACCCTCCAAAAGTGGCGATCGTTTCAATGGAAACCTCAAGGCGAACCCCAAGCCTATAGGACTTAAGTATTTAAATGTGTTTTATTTATTTATATTTTTTATTTTCACCCCCGGAAATGGCTTCGGTTTCCTCTTGGTTCCCCTTTAAAACCACAATTAATTCGGGTACCCTCAACCAAGACAGACCCAACTTTAGATTACTACTTTCAATTGGTGGTTTGGATTTGGATCTGAACCGGCCCTTGCAGAGCACCAAGCCACCAATCAGAGGAGCGCTGAAGACTTGGGGCAAGACTCTGACTTAAAACAACAAAACAGTCATGATGAATTCCTTTTAAGACCAACAAGGGGGAAACAAATATTCATTTCAGCAAATAGAGGAAACAAAAAGAAAAGACGCCCTCCGTGGGTTAAAACAACAAAACACAGCGTCGCACCGAAACTTGACTCGTCGCAGGCCGAGGCGCCACCCCGCCCAGCGTGGACATCCGCTTCACGCTGCCCAGGCGCTGCTGGGCGTCCGACAGCCCCGGGAGCTGCAAGCCCAGCTTCAGCGCCGCCGCCTCGATGGTGCCTCGGACGAGGCGCTCGGTGATGACGGTGCGAGTCGGGGCGGCCAGGGAATCGACGAGGTCCAGACTGGAGAGGTTAGAATAAGTTGGCAACCATTTTTTCTGTTGTCTATTTTAGGGGAGCCGCATCTCCCACAAAAATGGGGTGAGAAAGGGCACTACTGGGGGACCTAGTTGATCAACTGTCGACTCGGAACATCCCCCTTTTGGATGGTTTGACCTGTCTAGGGTCGTCTGAGAACATAAGCAGGGCCCCTTTAAGGTTACCAGAAGCACCAGCTGATTTGTGAGAACTATAATCCTTGTAAAGGTGGCTTTTGGTGCATCCTTTAAGGAGCCCTGTGGCCTTCTTCCTTTCCTCAAAACAATTTCATAGGCGTGGCGCATGCTCTCTTTCCTGTTCAACATTGCGCAAATCTCGGCCGCCGGATAGCAAAAGTTGAACACAATGGTTGCGAGCCAAGAAGATCCGAATATGTCAAACTCGAAGGGCACCGTGGCTTTCCTTTTGGTTTCTCAGTTGCCCAGCTGATCACCGTTTGGGGCCATGACTGAAATTGCCAAAGCAGGGAAACCAACAGGTCAGGTGGTCGATTCGCTTTGGTTGCAAGTGAGGTGTCCCTGTGAATGCAACCCAAGCTGATTCAAACAAAACAAAAGAGAGGCGCTTTGGTTGCAAGTGAAGCTTCCCTTTCAACCAAGCTGGACCCCCAAAGGACCCCATTTTTTCTGCCTTTGACCCATAAAAAAGGGGTACAAAGCCAGAAATAAGGGGTCCTTTGGGGGTCCAGGAAGCTGAACCAAAAAATAAAAGAAAACTCGCGGCAGGCGAGCCGCCACCAAAGGCAACTCCGCAGGTGTCGCTGACAACTTGGCCCATGGCCGCGGCCGCCAGGGTGGGCAAGCCCAGGGCGACGCCAAGGGTATTATCGATGGCATCCCCCGCATAGAGAAGAACACTCTGATCCACGATGCCTCGGAGAATGGAACTCGGTGCCAGAAAAAAGGCAAAGGAGTCACAAGTTCAAAACCCGGTAAAAAATATCGGTTGACCCAGAACCATGTGCGGAAATACAAAGGCGGCCGAAACTATTTATGGCTGGGATTGTCCCGTGCTAACCTTGATCTACACGGGTTTTGATTGTGGCTGAAATGAGCCCGAGACAAACCACATATCCAACAAGTGTGGTCTTCTTTGGGGAACTTTTGGGTTCATTCCTAAAACCCGGCAGGTCATGCCCCACTAAGCACCGGCAAGTGAAAGCCAAGCTCTGTTCCTCAGAACCCTGCTAATTGGTTCTGTCGAATCATTGATGTGTTTCTAGGTTCTCCGGTAGAGAGCTTCGACTAAGGGTACCCTTTTTTCTGTAGTCTATTTTCATAGGGGAATCCTGCCCGAAAAAGGGAAAAAGGCTCAATTGGGGGACCTAGGCTTGGTTCTCTCAACCCTGAGAGGACTCTCTCAAAATGGAGAAAAAACCTGTGCCAGCTTGGTCGGAGCGGCCAAACGCAACAAAGGGAACGGCGGCGGTGACGAAGACCCTCCGCATTTGCAGTTGCGTTGGCTTCGGAACTTCTTTTGGAACCTCTGCAGCGTTGCTGCAAAATCTTCGCCCAATCACCGGCTGCCTGATGGAGCGCCAGATCTGTGTCGGAGCATTGCGGGCGAGCCCGCGGAAGAGGAAAGTGCTCGACATCTGTGCAGACCTGCTCCCCGTCTGGTGGAATGGGCTGCGGAGACATACAAGGATTTGTTGAATGAATTGGTCGGCTGGAACTGGTTGGATGGATTTTATTGGGCTTGAATTGGTCTTGGTTGGCCTTTTGGGCTGATTACTTTGTCCACGCTGCGTGTGGCTCAAAATGCAAAAGGCTAGGGCAAACTGCAGGATTTAGCGTTTGACTTACCAACATGTACCAAGGTGCATGTTGGTACCCTTTTTTCGCGCCACAGCCAGCTGACTGTGGCCGCCGGCCAACGACTCGATGTTTCCAAGGCTCCGCTCGCGCAACATAGGCCGCGCTGGCCCCGCTATCCGAGCGCATCTGGGCGGCCTCTGCGAGGGCAGCCCAGGCCGCTGCTGCCGCAAAGCTGCCTCGCGCGGCGCCTCTTCGCGCCCGAAAAGGACGCTACGACTTCCCGAGGTCTCAACCATTGGCAGCGAATTTTCTGGACACCGATTGTGATATCCACACTGTGGCCTTTGCCCGACCTAAGCAAACCCGCAGCAGGTAAGTCCCTCAAAAAACCTGGAAAGGGGATAAGCTTTGCGGTTGGCATGGCTAACCGAAAAAGGGCAAACCAGAAGGCTAGAAGGTCGGCTTTCGGCAACTGAGTTCTCTTTTCAGGGCCCTTGTGCTTGACTGCCTGACTCAGTTGGAAGCATCACCAAATTACCACACACACACACACACACGCACACACACGCACACACTACGTCAGCGTGGCGCCAACTTACAAACCCGCACCCTTGCATTCTCCGAATCCTTTGAAGCAGTGTGGAACGCCTCAGGGATTCGCCGGCAATGAAGGTTTCGAGCGAAGAACCTAGCACCAAACAGCTTGTCTGGATTAGTGGCTTGGGCAACGTGGGTAGTTGACCATTTGCCCTCTACAAAAGCCAAGGCCTCTCAATCAGCACAATCAAATTCTTAGACTGCTTGCTAATCAGCTATCCAGACGACTTTCTCTGTTCAGGACAAATGCTGCTCCAAATTGTCGGCGCTGAAAGTGCAAAACAAGCTTCATAGGGCTTATCTAAACCAAACAGGCATGCCCCAACTGGCGCCGAGGCAATCATCGCATCCTCGAGCCGCACTTTTGCACACGCGAGATATCTCACGTTCGTGTGCGCAGGCCTTGGAAGGGCGGAACATGTGGAACTCAGCACTCAGATGCCCAGTGGCCATGGAAACAAAAGGGCATCCTTTGTCGGTTGGTTGAGTTTTAACGCAAAACCCGTTCCCCCCCCCCCCGGCACCCCCACCCGCCAAAAAAAAAGAAGAGGAAAGGGCGCCACTGGCCAATTGGGATCGAGATAACATCCGACTCCCGTACACATGCAAGGAACACACGCAAGCCACGCGATGGCCCCCATTTGGAATCCACGTGTCGCGCACAGGCAAACACCTCTGCACTGAATATTTGTCACAGGCTGGGCGCAGAGCTCACACTCGCTCAGCTCCCAGTTCACGATGCCTGTGGTTTACTCTGTGCGCCGGATTGATGTCTTGAAACCGCAGTGCAAAATCTGGGCTGCCCTCAAATCCAATGGTAAAAGCTTAACTTTTAGCGGTTTGAATGGAAACCGCCACTACACACTAAAAGGGTAAAGAGCTAAGGGGATGGCTGGAAGCCACCAAGATTTAAGTCACCTCCCACTTCCCACGAATCAAGGGACATGCTGCTGGTCATTGCGTACATCGCGTGTCACAGGCCTGTTGCTCCTCCGGTGGTGCTGGACTGGCTTCCTGTGGTTCGCTTTTGGGCGCCTCACCCGTAGACGGCACGCTTTTCAGCGACTCTTTCTTCGGCGCACTTTTGATCGAATCCTTCTTTGAGTCAGCCTTGCAGCTTGCGAGCGAAGAGCAAAACACTTCTGACTTGAGACTTGCATTGATTAGCTGACCCAGTCCAAACCTGTTTCATGTTGCTCGGCAAAGAACCGGTCAGAATTTATTCATCTCAGCTTTCATCAATCGAGCACCCCACCTCGCAGCTCCCTACTTAATCATGCCGCACATGACATTGACATGCTGCCAAGTTTTCGGCCGTCCTTGCTGCCCCCAATGTAACAATGTGAGAACCGGCCGCGCATGTTTTGCGGCAGGTTGCCAAATTTTCGTGATTTCAGCCAGATTCGCTGCAGCGTTCTTTACCCTGAGAGTGGGAATCGGCCGCGAACTGCGTGGCCGTTCTTCTGTCACGCTTGCCGAACCACAAAACCCCCGTCTGCTGTGCCTCGTCCGTTCCAGTCGAAGCTGTGTTTACGAGCTGTATTCAGCTGTCACGAAGCTAAGCATTCTTTGCCGGAGCGGCGTTTCATGTTTTCTGGGTCCGCCTGGACCAACCCCATTTGTTGCGGCTCCCAAACCGTCGTGTAGATGTGTGGTTATACAAGTGGGAAGCACGTTGTACATGCTTCTTGCTTCGGAGGCGTGATGCATCAGCCAGTGGATTGGCCGACAACAAGTCCAAACTTTGAATTTACCAAAAAGAACAATCCAAACTAAACGTCTAAACAGGAAAGCCAAGCTAAAATGGCACAACCCCCCCCCCAAAAAAAAAAAGAGTCCAGGACCTCAACAAGTGGGATGGAGCTCGTTGGCCTTGGATATCTTGGATGCGAGGTTTCGGCCCGCCTTCTCGTCGGCTGCGCTCGCCTCCTTGCCTTCAGCTTTGCCTTCACTGCCTTCACCCTCCCCGCCTTCGGCCTACGAGAGGCGCTTTGCAATGACTGGCCCCGAGTGCCATGGAAAGAACCGAGTTTTCCCATTGGCCAGGAATTCAATGCATGCTCAATGCACCGGTTGCAGCCTTGCCTTCTCCATTGCCTTGGGGAGGATGTACCTCAGCATTGTCACATTCCTTGCATGCCTGAGGAAACATCTGACGCACCACCGGGGCCGAGCGGTGCGAATTCCGAAAAAAAAGCAGGCGGTTCTCCTTGTGGCCTTCCTTTGTAAGACTACCCCCCCCCCAAAAAAAAAAGATAATAATAATCTATATATATATATTTAAGAAAAAGAAAAAAAACAAAAAACAAACGGGGCACCCTCAACAAAAAGATCGACCCAAGCATGAATGCTGGTCAATGTTCCCGATCTTAGTGCAGGCCGGCCAGCCAAAACCATGCCGGCACAATCAGCGCCAGCAGGAGGACGATCCATGCCTCTGCGGGATGCCAAGCTCAACTGCCAAGCATTGCGACCTCTGAACAAAAATGACAGCGAGTAGTTAAACACCGCCATGCTGTTTACGCAGCGTGCTTCCCAACTTTGGAAAAGCCCGACTCTATCAGGCCACGGCACAATAGCAGCCATGCGCCTGCCAGCCCGCACATTAGGAATCACCATGCGATGAGAAGCTTTGAAGAGCTTTGCACTGCACCAACCGCACCCCATTGGAGCCCCGCAACTGCAGGGCAGACCTAGGACCCTGTTTTGCTTCAGACACAGTGCCGGCTCGCCTGTTGCTGGGATCTGAGATAGGTGCGGTGTATGCATCAACGAGACCCATATAGATCGCCTCGCGTGCCGCATGTGCCGCAGCCCCCGATGCACCGTCTACGTCCTTTCGTGGCCATATGCCCCCCCCAAAAAAAAGAGAAAGCGAGCGAAGCCAAGATTGATGCACATTGAATCGCAGTTGTGAGTCCGCATTTTTCCATGCGTCCAAACAGCAGCGCGTAAGTTGCTGACTTCCTCCTCCGTCGTTTCATTCGTTTTTTGGAATGACATGTACAAGTGCAGGTAACCCCCTTTTGCTTACATCAACTCGTGATGTCTTGCGTCTGAGCCACCATCTCCCAGCAGAAGCCGGTCTGCAAGACCCAAGCGTTGTTGAGCTCTGTGAACTCCTGATGCAGAGGACCAACACCGCAATGCTGACCCAGGATTAACAAACCCGTCCCATTATTAGGGGGGTGTTTTCTCCAAAAGTGATGAATCCCCACTAGAAGGGGACACCCCCCTATTAGAGCCGAGGCCGGCGCCGACATATTCTTGCCCATTTTCTTGGCGACGAAGGAGAGCGCCACCACCCCCATGTAAACCAGAACCTCAGCCAGAGCACTCAGTGTGTCGTGTTGCTCCTCAGGCTTCGAGCATTCACTTACGAGAAAAACGAAAAAAAGGAAAAGTGAGGACCCACCTCAAGAGTGATTCTTGGACAGCCCCATCTTTTTAAATATTAAAAAACAAAAAGCGGGGAGCCACCCCAAGACAAGCCCACTGATGTCCAACGCAACGGACCCCTACCGTCCCCCGTTTCATGGCAGTCAGGTCACTGTTGAAGCCATGGCCTGTGACCTGACGGCAAGGGTGTAGCACTGATTTGCTCCTGCTGGACCTCTGGTTAAGGAGGGGTTTCCCATGTCCCCTCTACAAGAACTAGGAAAAATGAATTCCAAATCCAAACCACGAATCCACGAAGGGTTACCGATCTGGTTCTGAGTCATAGCTGGCCACAAGCCCATTTCAACCACAACCATGGGCCTCTGGGACCCGTGAATTTCACGAAAAGGCCAGGCAATTCGCAATTTGGCGAGAGCTCTGTTTTTCTCCTCGGCTCCAGCTTTGGCCGCCGCGCTCTCCAGGGCGCACTATAGGAAACCACCGAAATTTGATGCGACCACCATAGACAACCACTCTAAATTTGGACTGAGCCTAGTTTGTCGGGAGTGTCGTCATCAAAGTTCAGCTGAGAAACATCATAGCGAAGTCGTCGAAACAAACTCGGCCAACAACTCCCCAACTTACCCGCACCATTCAAATGGAGCTAACTCAATTCGCTAAGAGCCTCGCGGCTGTGGCAAACCTGCTGGGAGATGTTCAGAAAGGATCTTCGAAGCAGTACCGAGATGCTTTCACCAACTCCTGCATTGCAGCCTCTTCGTCCGTGTTCAAAATGGTGAAGTCAAGACTCCCGCTGGTCAAGGCCCACTCCATGTCAGCGGTCACCTCAGTTGCCCCCCAAAGGGGACCCAGAAATCAAAGGTGATCACCTTTTACAACGGGTACCAAACCAGGAAAACCCAAAGGGGTCAAAAGGTCGATTCGTTGTGGGCAAGTGAGAAGCTACACTCTGCTGTTTATTCCTCCAGTAGAGAGGTTAGAATAAGGGTGCCCTTCTTTCTGTAGTCTATTTTAGTAGGGGAACCGAATCTCCCAACCAAAAAAGTTGGGAGAGAAGGGCACCTAGCTGGGGACCTAGCCTTTGACGACTTGTTTTTTGACGACCCACGCATCCCCCACCTGCGCTCGCAAAGGCTTCAGCTGCTGCTCAATGCTGGGTGTCTGGAGGCCCCGGGACTCCAAGCGAAGACGGTTCCTCTCCTCGGGCGGCTGTGGCGGTGGCTCGGAATGACAAAAATATTGGCCCAAGCTA